TGTTTAAGCAGAAGTTGATATTCCCAGTCTTTGTTATTGTTACCCTGATGACTGATGCTAAATAAATATGTTATTTTTTAACATAGTGTGAAATATGTATTCCTGTAAAGAGCCAAATAACCTTTAGAAATCATCTGCATGATCAAACTTGTGTGTCATACTGCAAACAATATTACCGATTGTCATGTAAATAATGCCCACTGTCACTTTTCTTAAGAAGCTGTAGTTGCACATGCTGTTAAATGTGTTGTGTATATTGTCTCTACTTTTTTGGTATTTTGCTGTAGCTGATGTCATGATTAAACACAAGAAAAGAAATTTGAATAGAACCTCAGTTTTCTTATTTCAAAATGCATATTTTATTGTGGGGAAAATACAAATTTTCATGTAGGCTACAGCCACTTCTACCCTGGCCCCTACTTGACACACAGGATACTATATATATCCTTTTAATGCACTCATGTCTAACCACACTCTGAAGATGCAAATGCAAAAGCATATAAGGTTGACCTGATATGGCTTAACAAAGCATACAGCAGCATGTAAAGACTTTTGTAAATCCCCTCATTTTAACTGATTGTGCCTCTCAAGCTGCATTCAACTTCAGCCTCCCGGCATTCAGGATGACCTAGATTCGGTTCCAGTGGCTGAAATTTGCATTTCTTCTGTTCTGGGAAGGGGAGAGATGTAAATAAGCAGAGATCTCACAAATCTTTTATTGCAAGGTTATAATTGGTGAAATCACTGAAGCATTTAAACCCCCAAGTATGATTTTTGGGAAAGTTAGTAGAGAGAAAATGAGAAGGGGGTAGTAGACAGAAGAAAATGCGGTCTTCTTTGGTTCCATTTAGTGGCACTAGGGGGCGTTTACACTGTATCCCAGCAGAAAGAGGGTAGTGCAGCAATGAAAAGCTCAGTAAAACTGAGGTTTTTGTTGGCTTTTTTTTTGCTTTTTGCTTCTTCTTTTTTTAAATATAAATTAATGAATGATTTCATAACAGTTCCTGAAAGAAAAAGATATTGGTTCCCTGTGCTAAAGATCAGGACAGGATTTTGTTTGAATTCTCAAACCTTGTTGGACCATTTCAGTCGGGTACTTGTTATCACAATTATTCCTACTCACATACCATGCCAGATTGCTTTATAGTACACAATCTGTTTGAATGCACTGATTTATATTGTCTGTTTTATTTACCTTATTTTATTTTTTTCCACATACCAGACATTTTATGATTGTCTGACAATCAGTTAACAGGCACTGAGCTTGTTGAATTACGTAACTGATCCACAGTAAACATAAAACTGTCTGGCTCTGCAGAGGATATGGAGATAAAAAAAAGATTCGACACTTGACTTTGTTTGTGAATAAGGTGACCATATATCAAAAAAGTAAATGGGAAGCAAAACGTATGCTAGAGGGGGGTCAAAGCAGGACATTACTAATGTTGACAGGATGTTTGAAATTTTAACATAGTGCTAAATCTTATCTTTAGTGTCATACAAACTGCAAAAACGGCTCGAAAATAACACAAGCTACTGACTAAAAATGTGAAAGCTGTAGTTTTAGCCTAGCACATCTACCCTTTTTAAACAACTCCATCTAAATTGCAATGCTTTTATATCTGGATTTGACCAAAATAAACGCCAAAGAATATAATGAACACAGAACAAAACAAATGTTAACCATCTCACCAAAAAAGATACACTAACTTTAGTTACTTTAACTTTAAGTTACTGGTTTGGTATTGGTATGTGAAAGCCAAATATATATTTTATTTTGAATGTAACATTCCTGACTCCCTTGCTAAGTAAAACAATAAGCACACATGGAAGCTTTTTTTATGGTCTTATATGAGAGTCTTTGTAAAGTTGGGTTTCCTTTCTTATTGGAATCCCAGTTAAAACTGTTAAGTTAAATTTTCATCTGGTGGTTTGTTTGTTTTTTTTATTATCGAGGCATTTCTAGATTCACACATCTCTTCCTGTTTCTGATATTTGATCTTCATGGACTATGACGATGAAGGGTGAACAATGGTTCTCTGTATGGTAGGGAAACAAATGCTGTAATGCAGGAAGCATGTGCAAAGGTCCACGATGACGTAAAGTGTACATAATTTTAGAAGGAAAAAAAAAAGAACTTTTACGTCAGAACGATAACGTTTAAACAGCATTTTGTAACAGTGACATTATTCCCCTGAAGGAAGCAAACATATTGTTTCCATATAAAATCGCCCTGTGGTAATCTCCTGTGCTTATTAGGAGGGCTCAAATTCTGAGAAATATCAAATGAATCAAAAAGCCCCAAATTTTTATCCATCCCTCCAAGTTTATGCATCAAAGCCTTGCATGGCTTCATTAAATAGCCTAAGAGACAAAGAATAAGCTGATTCTGAGGGCGTCAGGTGGGAGACGCTCACTGACTTTTCATGTCATGACCCTCTACTGTTTGTTCAGTCTCTGACCTCAAAGCATTGTTGATGCCGTTCTTACACGTCTCTGTTTTTTCTAAACAAAGGTCGGCCACCCTATCCACATCATCACTTTATGTATCTAACGACATGTTTACCACAATGCCACTAAGTCCAGTCAGTACAGCGGGGGGGGGGGTGTATTTCTGCTGTAGGAAGGGCAGCATCCAACTTTAATAACATAACAGCTGCATCACTGTGTTTCTGTGACATCGACCTTCTCCGAAAGCCACTAACTTTGCATTTCAGATGATTGAACTTATGTCATAGAAAACATGCACTCTGGGGATTAGGTTGCTCTGTTTTACGTGTGTTTTTTTCACTTTCGTTGCTAGCCTGCATTCAGATTGTCATAAATTTATAGTGGGAAACACCAGTGTAGACAGAGAAAGGCCGTGATGTAGGGAAGGTGAAACGGAGATTGAAGGACAAGCATACAACGGGTATTACCATGAAGTGAAAGTCCCTAATATTAACACTGAGTTTATCATCATAGTGATTAAATGCATATCCTCTATATGTTTCACTTCCTCATGCTGTTCATGGATTTGGAACGAGTAACAGATGTCACTGTTTAGTGGCGAAAAAGAAATGTCCATAAACCGCAAGTTTGCTTTCTGAGCCGTGGGAAATGTTAACAATTAACTTAATTAATCCTTGCTATCAAAATTACACCTGTAGATTTACCTGGACTTTTTAAGCCAAAAGACAAACCAAGCTAAGGAAAATGAGTTTTGTGACCTCTGTGTCATCACAGTTTATGATATCCTGGGATTTTTAATGACAGCATAATGAGGGGGTTTGACTAACAGGCAACATTGACTTTTTTTTTAATGACGGGGACTGCAGCTTCCACGTTTTATGTCAACAAGGGTCCAAAAAGTCCAATGAGACTCGTAACTTCAATTTCATAGGATTTCAGAAATATTATAATATTTTATTTGGTGGAGAGCAGGATTTACCAACTCCTGTTTTCAACCAATGCCGACACTTCAGGAGGCAGAGGACTGAGTGATGCAGAAAGGAATTTTCACAGAATTCTTGAAGGAAAGAAAGACTTCCTGCTGTCAGCAGATGAGATGGAGGAGCTCCAGACATTAGAGCAGGAAGGTGAAAGCTCAGAGGACATACCAATTTTTAAAGAGCCTGTGCAGGGATGTCCATTGTTTTTTTTAGACACAATATACGACATCCACCGTCCATTGCATCTAAGAAGCAATGTGTAAGCTATAGGGCGTACACACTGAAGAGAGAACAATATAACATCCTCGACTTCACCAAAAAGTAAAATTGTTAATTTTTTTACTTGCTGATCTCTCTGATAGACATTAAATCCCCTCTGTTAAGTCCCTGCTAGTAAATGATTTAATAATTGAAAGCTACAAATCAGAAGTCCTGGACTCCCTGAAAATCCATACACTTGATAACCAAATTGCATGTTAAGTATAACAGTTAAAATAAACTATGAATCCACTTTTTTGCTTTTTTTATTTTTTATTTTGTTGACATGTCTTTTACAATTATTAAGTGATATTTTAATCATCAATATACTTTAACAGAAGTCCACAAGTGTTGTGGGACATAACTTGCAGTATATAATTACTGTTCTCTAATGAAACCTATCTAGTTGGGAAACAGAAGAGAAAAAACTTGGAAAAAGGAAATGACATAAGTCATGTGCTAGTGGCAGTTCTCTGAGGTCAGTTCTCTTTGGCATAGTTTGTAATACTTGGTGTCCAGAAGACATATTAAATTCAGTTTCCTTCCTTTATTTATATAACTACACTTATTTACTTTCAGCTCAACCTTTCTCTGAGAAAACACCAAGACTGATCGCACTGATTTGTAACACTGCTATCTACACACCCTGTTACCATGCACATAAAACAAGTATTATACACTTGTGTAAATTATGATAAATAATGCTAGATTATATATCTATTCATCCATGTTAATTTGTGCTAGCTTGTTTTCAAACGTTGATATAAAACAAGTTTTATCTAAAAAAATATTCAGTATGATTGTAACTTCCTTTAAATTAACGGTCAAGATTATATTAAACTATATTTTTAAACTCTACTTTATAAGGTTCTGTAGTATGGCATCTCAAAAAAATGTCACTTTGATGGTTTATTATTTGAGTTTCTTAACGGACAGCAGAAAATGTTAAAACATAGGGTTAATTAAAAAACAAACAAACAACATTTGAAAGCCTAAATTGTCCCCGAATTGTAGAATGATCCTTTTATGTTCTGATCATGTCAAGTGTTTTCTCGTCTGGTAAAACACAACACCAAACAAGTTAACCATCCAGTTTTGTTTTGTTTTTACAATAACTTTCTACATTGTATTTATGGTCTCCATTTGTGGCAATGTAAATTTAAAAAATACCTAGGCACAAAGACATCTTTCATGACAACTACTTAACGTAAAACAATGATTTATGGATTATTTGTCACCCTTTTTTGTACCATACCAAACCATGACCACACTTCCGCTGGTTATTCCGTGGCGTGGTGTCTTCTTTCCACAGTCCACACGACGTTCCCAGCACAAAAATCATGTCGAGAGGCGGAGTCACGCATTCTGCATCAGCTGAAGGGAAGACTCAACTGTACCGACGCTCTCCTTCCGCCGTCTGTATGTGCAGAGAGCAGTCTGATATCGCTGGGAGGGTGAGTCTTTGTTTAATATTTTTAAGAAAAACGTGTTTATTTTGCTAATTTGTGTCTTGTTAGAGAGCTACAGGAAAATGTCCACACTGGAGTGTCTTTTTTTGGTCGGTTTAAACCGGCTTTTACTGCGTAGACGTGGCTGTCGTAGCTGAGCTCGCTCTCCGTTCGCGAGCGCTCCTTTGTGTCCTCCATTGCTCTGGTGACAGATCAACGATTACTCAGCGAAGCTAAAGCCAACAACCCGGCCGACGGCTAGCTGCTACAGTAAACGGTCACGTAAAGTGACCCCACTCCCAAACTACAATCTGTTTGATCTGCGTGTCCGTTCGTTACTCTTTAAGTGGAGATAGCTGTGCGTCTTCAGCATCGCTGTGGCTTCCGTTAACAGAAAGCTAAAGCTAAACCGCAGCACAGCCTACGGAAATACTCTGCTAACACCATAGTTTCTCTTTGCCTGCGTTTAACGACACCTGACGCGGAAACCGAAGCCGACTCACAGGTCATAGTGTTTGACTTTTACGCATTTTTATGTCGAGAATGGAAAAACCCTTACGTTAGGTTGGCCGGTGTTAATATGAAAACAGCTGCGGGTGCAAAAGCAAAGCTGATGAAACTAGTTTGAAAGACCGTCTGCTGTTAATCACACGATTGAGGTAGCTGGAGGCGAAAGCTAAAGGATTTTGCCTTCATAATTTTATATTTAGGTTTTATACAGAGGCTGTAATCAGTTAAGATGACTCTGGGAGATGTCAGCAGCCAGTATTCATTATTTATATGACATCAGTTCAGAGCTAAAAGGCTTTAAAACCGTTTAGTTACTGTAGTACAGAGAGGGAATACAGTACAAAGAAGACAGTTTGGTCATTTGACCATGTCATCGTGGTTGTTTGAGTCATTTTACCATATTTTTTGGTAGCTTTTATACACATTTTTTTAAAGGGAAAAAATGATCGTGTTTGTTTCCCTTTGCCAGAAGGTGAGTGTTAGCACCTTGTTTTAAATGCCGGGAAAAACCAGTGTCACATTTTCACTTTTCAAATGAAGAAGGTACTTTCAGTTGCTTCCATATTTCTCAAGGGAATTGCCACAGCATGGCAGATCAGATGCCCTTCCTGATATAACCCTCCCAGTTATCCAGGGTTGGGATAACCGTGAGGCTTTGTAGTTGTTAATTATAAAGAACCAAACACACAGTTTAGGAAGCAGTCGGCAGATTTACTGATGATAAAACCAGATCATCAGCATTTGTTCTTCATAGTAGTTCAGTGTCTCGATTGGCAAGTTCCTTAAGCTCGTCTTCTTTTCCCCTCACTTGTAGAAAATGAAATTCTGTGGGCTGTGGAAAGAGACCCTGGTTTTGGCCGAGGACTACCTGTCCTTTTGCTGCACGAGTCCACATCAAGCCCCTCCACCTCCCAGCGAATCAGCCGCTGCCATGAGGCGTCTAGGCTGGGACATCGAAAGACAGCACCAAGCTCGCTTCGACAACCTCGCTCAGACCTTCCTGGTGCAGTGTGGACCAGACCACTGCCTCAGCCTCAGAAAGGTGATGAAGGAGCTGGTTGGGGATGGACACTTGAACTGGGGGAGGGTTGTTTCTCTTTTCGCCTTTACTGGAGTGCTGGCCAGAAAGATCCTGGAGCAGAAGCCGGGGCTGGACCCTGGTCAACAGCAGGAACTGGGACAGGAGCCCATGAGCTGCAGAAGGCTGGCAGAGACCATAGCTGATTACCTGGGAGAAGAGAAGAAAGACTGGCTGTTGGATAATGATGGATGGGTAGGTGTTCCCTGAAACTGAGTCAACACAAAAACTGAAGATATGGGAGGCTTTGATTATGTCAAGAGCAAAACAGTGGATTCAAAGTGGTAGTTGTCTGGGGGATTTTTGTGTTTTGTTTTTCTTTGAATTACTGTCACTGGAAATCACCAGTCTGATAGATTGATCTGTTGTTTAGGTTTATGCCATAAGATACAACCAGGGACAAGTCTCTTAGATTCTTTCTTGTTCATTACTTTGTTTGGCATCACAATGAGTGTTGAGACTACTGTGATTCTGGGAATTACAAAGTAATTGTAGACAACATGCTGGGGAATTTATGCTAAAACAACAAGATCTCAATAATGGTGGTAGGTAAAAAAAAGTTTCTCGCCAAGAAATCTAAAAGATTTTAAAGTGGAGAAAAAGAGTAATTAAGGCAACTTAGAAAGATTAGACTTGGAGGAAAATTAAAAAAAAAGAAAAGAAAAATATAAAACATGTTCCAGTAGCAGAAGGTTAGGGTGATCACAGATGATGACTTAGCAGGGTTAAACCTGCTGGGAGGCTGCTTATTTACTGGAAAAACGTGAACTATAATGCCCTCTGGCTGAGTCCCAAAAGCCTCAACTGAACATCAGATGCTGGCTTTTATGAATGGGCTTACCCAACACACACCCACACACACACACCCCTCCTTTCTTTGGCTGGCAGCTGGTTTCAACAGACACAGCCAGATGGACTTTTTGTAGTAACAGTCAAAGCTTGTGTGTGTGTGTGTGTTGAGTTTGGCTTTAGCTGTATTGAAAGTTAGCGTGGTATGACTAGAAAAACAAGCAGCTGTCGGGCAGCGAGAACACCTGGAGCTGAGAGCAGGTGCACTCGCTGGTCAGAATGTATGTCTTCAGTCTGAAAACACGATGGAGAGATGCAGCTGTAGGACTTTCCCTGTTTTTAATGCTGGGGATGCGCTGATCAAGATTATTATTGCTCATTAAAACAAAGTCAAAACAACAAAACTCGAAGCTACAATAAAATAAAAACAAATGATAAAATAAGATCTGACCAGAGCCCACTTGACAAGAAATCAATACAAACAATTTTAAATATTGAAAATTCAAATTCCAAAATACAACTTCTGTTGTTGTACATTTATTTGAGTTTTATACACAAAGATGTACTGATATCAGCCCAAACAATTAAGATGACTTCTACTGATGGCAGTAGCCGATATTTATCATTGTTTATGCCTAAATTTGTTCATAATTAACATAATAGGAATTTAGGGTCGACATTGATACTTAGGCAAAAACAAATCAGCCAATAGATTAAAAATACATATATTTTATAAAAAAAAAATTATGTCCTCTTTGCTCCTGGGGAAACAAACAAACAAAAATGAATCAATTTTGAAGACTTTGGCCTTCATACCCTTCAACATTTAGCCAGAACAAAATTGATGCAGCTGGTAAATTTTGTGTCACAAACATCACAAAGCCTCCTGATTCAAGTTGTTCTAGTTTTCACACCTAGTTTTAATGTACCATAACAATCATCATAAAACATTAACAAATGAAATGATGTCGATGGTATTAAAGTTGGATGTCTGACCAGTAAACCAGTGACACGGACGTGCTTTTAAACCCGCATTATGAACATGGAGTTCATTTTGTAAATTTGGGTAATTAAATCCAGGTGTGCTCAATGGTGTGTGGTTTGGCAGACAGATCTGCACCTTGTTTGTTGTGTCTGCTTTAAAAACATAATGATGAAAACACTCAGCTCGAGGCTTCAGTTTAGGTTTGTTTATATAGCGACAAATCACAACAGCAGTTCCTTTGTACTGTCAGGTAAAGACCCAGCAGTATTGCTCATAACAAGACTTAACAAACCAATTGTTTACAGCGTGGTGGCTACCTCCATCTTTTATATACAGTCTTTGTGTGTGTGTGTGTGAGGGGGGGGTGCAGAGGTGTAGCTGCTTTCTCTAAAACAGTGCATTGGGGGGGATAACTGGAAGCAGCACTCGTAATAATACTGAACATGTTGTTTCTGTTTGTCTTCTTGTAGGAAGGCTTCTGTAAGTTCTCCCGCAGTGCCAGAGAAGTGAGCCAGGACTCATCCATGAAGAAAGCGCTGTTTGCTGCCGCCGGTGTCGGCCTTGCTGGGCTTACCTTCCTCTTGGTGCGCTAGCTGGCATTCTCCACACTTGATGCATCCACATATTTTAAAATTCGGCACGATTTCGTAAATGTTGGACAACGTCCGGCGACCACTCTGCAAGAAAGGGCCCTCTGTAGTGAAAGAACGTTATTTCACGATGTTACGGTAATGTTTGCACAGTCTCGGAGCCCCTTAAAACTGACATTCGTCGCTTGCCCCTAAAGATTGTAAAACCAATTTGAATGCCTTTGGAAATGTTGCAGTGAGTGAGATCAGTTTACATATCCTGGCTGATTTTTTTTTCTTTTTTCTTTTCTTTTTTTTGCAGTGAAGGTAAAAAGCTTCAGATTTTGATTTCATGATCCTCTGCCCCTCTTTTTTATGGTATAGAGGCATTCCAGAGTAAAATGTAAAATTTAATATATTGTATTTATATGAAACCAGTACACTGCAGTCTGCCGTTTGTCCTGAATTCATATGAACTGTATAATTTTTGCAAGATCAGCAACGCTGTTCTGTACTCCCATGCAACGGTGCTAGATAAAACATTTCTTTGTCAACTTACCAAAAAGCAGGGACCATTCTGAATACAAATAGATTACTCCTGGGAAAAAAATAAAATTCCTCCAAATTATATTTTTACATTGTTTCTAATTTATTTTGCTTTTTTAAATAAAAGTGTTTATTAAATGTTGTCATGTTTTATTTTTTTCCTCCCCTGAATGTCTGTGCCGGAGGTCAGGAGCGTGACAGGGAAATGTAAATGACAGTCCCTCCTTTCATGTGCAGACACATTTTCATAAATAAGATATATCCTGCTGTCTCTCCTGTGCTCCTCCACTGGTGGACGCTCAAACTCAAATCCTGTTGTGCTGCACTAAAAAATGTTTTAGTGCAGCACTGAATAAAGAGAAATAAAAAAAACAACATTTTAGTAAAGTGACTACTCTCTGTATTGTTAGGAGAAAGAAGTAATAGTAATGACCAGAGGGACAGAAGTTGAATCCAGACAGTATAAATAGTTGATTTCACGATCACGTGTAGATGTATTGGTGTACACCAAGGCCTTCTTTTTACTTCATATATGTCATCAATTAAAATGTATAAGTATCCTAATTCAAAGTTAAGCTATACAAAACGAGAGGCTGCTTAGTTGCCATGTTGTGTTCAAAGTAGATGTTCTGGGTGTGACTGTTGCCACTTAGCAGTGAGAGGCTGCTGCAAAGTGATGCTCTTATCACTCTAAATAAGGAAGGAAATTGTAGGTTTGCATATTATCAACTTAGATCCTTTATTAATGTTTTGCAGGAAATTACATTGCCAGCTTTCATTGCTTCATCTGTTTACACAACATAATAAGCACATCCACTGTCTTCAAAGCCAGGTTCACAAACACCTGAAGGAATCACTGAACACATGGAGATGATCTGCAATGAGGCTCAAATGTAATTTGACAAAAATAATTCAAATGACATTCATAAGTTAGGTAGATAAGACATCTGGAGATCTTTTCAGGTGTGATATTTGCATCAGGAAGCTATAGCTGTGAAAACCACATGTAATGAAAGAAGCTTTCAGTGCAAAACAAATCATGCAGAGACATCGCAGCAAGTTTAAAGGGTTATCTTATTTTTCAGTTTCATAATAAAGTTTTTTGGACAACACTTATAAGAATTAGCATTACGAAGTGCTTTACAATAACACCAAAGTGGCAAATAAATAGTTAAATGAAGATTCAGACCTGCAAAAAGGATCAATTATAATATACAAAGCAATTTAAATTTAAACCATAGCAAGTGTGACATCAAGAATAAACAGTGTCACTAAATGATCAAGAACAAATTTTAAATAGCCGAAAAATCTAAAACGCTCAGCAGCAAAGCATTAAACCTGTAGCAAATGTTTCAGTAAGGGAAAATTAATTAATTAATTATTTAAATCAAAATAAATGTAAAATAAGTAAAACTATTAAATGTCATTAAATAAAATATTAAAGTAGGACAATAAAAATATACAAATCAATGGGGCAGCTGTGCCTTGAAGGTAAAGCAGGTCATCCTCAGCATCTGCACAAGTGCACAAGATACTAAATGTGGGTGATTGCAGTTTAAAATCGGAAAAGTGCTTTTAGTGCACATGTAGATTACAGAAGTGCGTACAAAAAAGAGACGCATGCATTTTAGCAACTGCCTTGTGATCAAAACCACCCCAAGCCACCAAGTGATTAGTTGAGATTCAGAGCACTCACTGGCCAACCAAGTTAGTCATGGTGTCAAAGACACTGCCATCTTATTTCTGCTCTAGTGTGTCTGGGCCATAGACGGAAAAAAACCCTAACAGAAAAAACTGAGTCGACTTTAGTGAGGCGGGACCATTGAGCAGATTCCTGCCTCAGGATCTCAGGATGCACCCTGGTTGGTAAAGGAACAACAGCGTCTCAGTGCTAATAGTAGTTCATGAACTCTGCTTTCTGTGGTAATTTGTGTCAAAACTATATTTCCTGCTACAGCAAGAGAAGCGCCAGGTGAAAAAGGGCAATAATTCCTCATGTACAATGTATAAATTGTGCATGTAGAGAGAACGCTCCCGGTAAGAAAAAAGACCAGAAAATACCTTTTTTTTTTTTAATCTCCACAAACAGACTGAACGATGCCATCTCACAGTAAAATGCGACTGTGATTAAGACAGCAGAAGATAACAAAACTCTGTTTTAGGAATCAAAAACTCAAAGCTTTGTGATGTTGACACAGAAAGCGGGAAAAAGTTATGCCAAAACAATTGGTACGACCAAAGATTGACAAATAAAATCTTAAAATTGAATTTTTATTGCAATACCTCTGAAATGGTAGCAGCAGAAACTGCAAGCCTTGTTTACATATTTCTTAAAACTTAGGTTTGTATAGAAAAGCATGGGCAGGTTTCTGATTCAACAGGAACAGACAATCAACCCCAGTTTGTCATGAAACATGTCTTGTTGCTAAAATGCAGAAGGAGGAGGTAGGAGAATTTGCCCCCCACCAACTCTGTTTATACCAGTAAGGCCCTCTCAAGATTTTAGCAAAACATGCTTTCTGGGTATGATTGCGTTCGTGGGAAACATAAGAAGTTAGAGAAAATGTCAGAGGTCAATTTCTTTTTCTAAACTGTGCGAGGCTTTCTCAGTGTCTAATCTGAAGATCGAAGGCTTTCAAGGGAGCAGAACACGGCCCCTGAAATGGTTTCGTGGGAACTGGGAGTTGGACCAAATGTGACCACTTCATCATGTGACAAAAAAAAGCATTATTGCCATGAGAAACAGCAACTTCAACACAGATACAGAATTCACCAAATCCATTTCCCAGGAAGGGAAAAAGGTCAAAGGCTTGTGGTGGGCTGAGGCCATAGCTATACATGAGCTTTTCTCAGTAAATGAGTGAAAATAGAAAGATGTAAACCACATACACTCCAGATTTCTGGTAAAATTTGGCTGTTTGTGAGTACATCCTGCTGTTAACCTAGATACATAACAGCGAGGCAATCATGGAAAGTGTATCAAACCCAAAAATATTAAACTGTGGCTGTGTTACGCTCTCAGGAGATGGAGACCTCCAGTGAATTAGCTGTATACTGACTAAACAGGGCTAGCGCGGCGTGACAGTTTGACCAGACTGAAACCGAAACTTGGCCTGCACATGAATTGATGTGTTTTTTTTGAATGGCAAATCACTGTACGTTAATTCAAAATAAAATAAACCAAATCTAGAAAAAGTCCCTCAGAATCTGTCGCTTTTTTTCTGTACAATACCCTTAGTGTATTTATTGAAGCCATGCAAAATTTTACCTTCATATATTAATTTTCATAATTTTTTTGTAACGTCATAAGAACAGAAGATATCCACATGACATTTTTAAGTATGAAAAAAAAAAAGCTCTGTTAAAACTGCATCCAAATCAGTTTTACGCCATCAACTCTGATGTTGTTCAGAATTATTCTTTAACTGAGAGCATGATTGCATTCAAGAGCAACGTTTCACCAGTTTAATCTCTGTGACGCAGTGGAACAGAAACAAGCAGGAACTGCAAACGCCACACAGAAAGACCCCGTGGATTTGAAACAAGGACCTGCTTGCTGTGAGGTAACAGTGCTAACCACCGCGGTGCCCAGTCACGAAAGGTCTCAGTGGATAATTTGAGTGTCGGCCAGCAGATGAGGATACTGCACTGAACACAAGACGACTGTGACACTTTGAGTGGGGGTGTGTGTGTGTGTGTGTGTGTGTGTGCGTGTGTGGACTTTTTTTGTGTGTGTGAAAAATGATCCTGCAGGCAAAATAGTCCATTTATTTCTTGCAGTTGTGCTTATGATTTCCTTTTTTATGCCTGAATGACTTTTAGAAATATTTTAGTTTAAGATTCTCCTGACCAGTCCATCAAGAACTTATGCCACCATCACTCCTCCAACCTCCTCACAAGGACTTTGCTGTCTGTCTCTCAGTGTCAGATATATCTGCAGCAAGAGTGTCTGAGCGCCAAAGGACAACTTTTGGGGCTTTGTCAGTCACCAACTCCAGCAAAAGTTGCATCTTTTGCAGCCATGGATTACTTCATGAAGTTGCCCAAGGTCTGATCTGACCTCTACAACACTGCAGAGACTAGAGAAAAAATGCTCAGTGCATCATGGGAAGTACCCCATCATTCTGACGCTAAAGGCAGCAAAACTAAGGGATGGTTCAAGCTCATCTGATCAAGCTCTAACTTTCAGGTTTGATCATAAAAGTACAGATTCCTTTCTCCAGAAACCAAACTTGCCCACATCCTGTAATTCAACACAAAATCTGACTGTATTTGTATTATTTACAGTAATATTTGCCCTGTTGTATTCTGAACTTCATTCATTTTGCACAAGGACAATTATTTATATGGCCATTGTTGTGATATCGCAAGCTCTTTCAACCATCATAATCACTAGGGGGAAAAAATCTGCATTATTCATCTCAGTTTAGAATAACCAGGTCACCAAACACGTATCTGTTTGGACTGTGGGAGAAACCCGTCAGGAAAGCTTGCAGACTCCTTGTAGGAACACAGAAGAAGCCCAACCAATCAGCAGGCTGAAGCTTGAAGATGCCTGAAGCTCCCCAAAACTTTGCTTTACTCAACAAGCTTCAGCGTTAAAGAGGTTCCTCCACATTATCACAGCCATTTAACAGTCAGTAAACATTTACCAGCTAAAGCAGCTTACAGGAGCAATCACAAACAACAGGATCAAAGACGTGGAGAGTTTAGGCTTAACAGAGTGGAACTGGCCAGCAGCAGAGAATGACAGCGTTTATAGAAATCACAGAAAACAGATAAAGACCAACTTGTCTGTTATAAATAAGATGCGGATGTCTCTGCTGAGAGACACACAATTACAGCGTTAACAATAGAGCATTAATGGGGCACCGAAACTCTGCTCTCAGTGTAGTACGTGCATGTTTCTCCGTTACAGCCATGACATACATGCAGTCGCACTGTTTGTGAAACAGAAAACCTTGACCCTCTGATGTGGTTTTGTGCTTCCTGTTGATAGTTTTTTTAGTCTTCCAGTGAACCCGAGCATTCAAGCAGCTGCTTACAAATCCTCAGTTATTATCATGATCTGTTTATTTTATGGATTATAAGC